ACACCCATTCTTGCTCTTTCAACATGGGGCTTATCTCATGTATCTAAGGCTTATGACATGGAATTATGGGATGCATAAGGGAAGTTATCTGGTGGTGGTAGTGAAGGGGACTGCCACATACATCGTGACCTGTGGTGCTATGTGGTCCATGAGATCTCTGGACTTGCTCATCAGCAGCCCCTCCTTCCCAGCCGGTAACTACTGCTTCAGTCTCTGTCTTGTGTGTGTGTGTGTGTGTGTGTGTGTGTGTGTGTCCATGTCCCACAAGTGAGTGAGACTTAAAGGACTGGTTTTCCCATGCCTAGTGGATTTTACTTAATATAATGAATTCCATTTCCATCCACACTACTACAGATGACATGATTGCTTTTTCGTGGCTTACTAATGTTACATGGTGTAAATAAATGCATCTCATTGTCTCTGTTGGCTCACTCATTGGAGGGCATTCAGGTTGAACGCATATCTTGGCTCTTATACAGCACCACACTGTACATGGAAGTGCAGGTGTCCCTCCTACAGACTGACTTTATCTCCAGAAAGTATTGGCTAGCTCTATTATTATCTACATTTTAATACCAGGAGCCCACATTCCACTAGGGGTGTGCTAGAAAGTACCTTACTTCTGAGGTAAGTGTTCATTTGTCACTCAGGGCCAGCCAGTACAGGAGTGTAGCATTCAGCGCTCCTTTCTACCATTTTCCATGTAGACACCTCTTTTTCTTTGAACACTTCCAACGGTCCAGTGCTCCCCGTTCTGTTTCATCTGCACACCAAGTATAAAGCTTTGTAACTGGAAAACTTGGTGCATTTGCTTGGATTCCAAGGCACATGGACCAGAATAAGTGCTCACAACCCAGTTCATATGGTGGATAGCATTGGGGTCTTGGCTGTGCTCTACATGGACCACATCCACTTAGCCTTGTGTACATGATATTTGTGTACGTTATCTTCAGACAAGGAACCTGATATTGGTACTGGGCTACCTCATGTGGCAGTATTGGGCTTTGTGGGATCAGTAGTGGCCACTTGGCATTTCATGGCAAATACTGTTCTTGCTATGGAGGAGGGTAACTGTCCCTGCTGCTATGGGTTTCTGTCTCAAACTCTGTGTCTGCATCTGCCACACTGTCAGTTCCATCATTGGCAGTAGCAATGTGGGGTCCCTCACTGAAGGGGCACAGAGGGAAGGTACATTTCAGTGAGACCATACTCACTAGCCAGGCAAGACTGCCTGATGAATTCCATGGGGACAAGTAAGAGCTTCCATGGCCAGGGTAAGAGGTCAGGAGAAGGCAACGTTTTTAATCCCATAAGGATATTTGTTAGCAGAGGTGCCTCTCTTGGTGGTGTGGTGAACCTGTGAAAGCTGTGCTATGGAGATAGCTCTGTGGATTTCTGGTACTTTCCTTTATGGATTCCAATGTTTGGGAATCTGGATGTTCCTAATTGATACTACAGGCTATCTACAAACCTGAAAGGCTGAATGGCAGTTCAGAATGCTCTGTGCCTGTGGACAGCATGATGCTGGCCATGTTGGCATGGTTTTATTTAAAGTTATTTTATTAGGTTCTTATGACTACCACCTTCTTAACCCTTATTCCACCCTGATCTTTTCCAACCCCCTCCCCAACACTAGGTAGGAGAGAAAGAAGGTTAGAGAGGAAAGGGGTGTAGACCTCTTTAGATTACTTCCTGCTTATTACGGACATTGAGTTCCTTGGGGAAAGTCTAAGCTTCGTTCTCAGGATTTCACAAACTTCCTGTCAAATCTCAACAATAGCAACCAAGAGCAGCATGGGAGCAACAGCCTCCACAGGCCCTCTTATGGCTCTCTCATTTATACCCTCCAGAGACCCCAGAATTAAACTATCTCAAGCTGCAAAAATTGTGCCCCTGCTAGTGTGCGAGGCAAATCATAGTCACCTGATGTGAAACAGCCTCTTATTCCACAGCTGAAATTAACATGTAAACATATTCACTTAACATAACTAGGTTTCTAAAGAAACCAAAATTCTTACTACAGTTCTCCACTCTTGGTCACCATTTTTAAACACCCATAAGCAAGACCTGAACCATGTGTCACTGTTTGTATTAATTAAAACGGAATGAAATCTGAAAGTCACTGGACTAGGTAGGTCACAGCCTCCACTCGTGGCCTCCATACTGGATTGTGTAGGTTAGACGATATCCCATCATGTAGAGCACTGCAAGTCAATGAGGATCTAAAACAACTGCATCCCAAGTCTCCCTGATCTATTTCCTCTTGACACCATGCTCTGCAGCAGACAGGTCATGGCTGTGTTGTCTTGATCCTGCTGATCACTCTGGAGTTGCACCAGCTAAGGACTCAGGAGACCCTAGAAAGAGTGGTCTGGCCTTTTTCTGGCTCCTCAGAAGCCAGGGCCTGTTCCTGTAACTGGGCCATATTGGAAATGATCAACAAGGTTCACACGGAGGAGAGAAGAATGGATAGAGTAGAATTGCCTCACATTTCTTGGGGAGATCTTCTTGGAAAATTGGAACAGTAACCTGGCTTTTTAGTAATGATAGACTGGCTTCCTGCCTCTGCATCTCCTTCCTTGGCTACCTTTGAGCACACTGAGAGCTGGACACTGCCTCCTTAGCAAAGCTGTATTCATGGTTTCGGATTAATGACTTCTACTGGCATCAGGACTAGGATTGATCCAGTTTGGTGCCAAGCTGTGAACACTGTTGCCTTTAAGAGTATTGGGTATCACTTTGCCATGTGCAACATATCTCTCAAGCAGCAGCCAGCCAGTTGCCAAAAGTCCTGGGCTTTTGGGACCCCCCCCCCCAATGGACAACTGTTACCTCTGCTTGTTACTTCTCTTTTGTGGCTGCCAGGTTGTCTATCACAAGGCAGAGCTAAGCTCCTGCCTGGGCACAGTTTTCTCTCTTAGCCTTTCTGACTTGTGTTCAGTCCTCCTTTTCTCTTCTCCCACACTCATTCTTACTCTATTTTATTTGAAAACTTTTGAGAGAATGGTGCCCTGTCTTCTTTATGTTATAAAGATGATGGTGGCTCCCTGTTCAGGCTCTCTCTCGATCTATACTGGAGGTCAAGGGCATAGTGGTTCCCTTCAGGAGGTTTTGAATGCTGGTTCTCATTTCTCCATTTGCCTACATGTTCCTTTTATATCTGCAGCCTTGACTTCATTCTTTGAGTATTGGGACTTGGAAGAAGGGCTGTGTGATGAGATGGTACTTAGAGGTACTAAGTCATAGTCAGAGACACTGTCTGGAGCGTTAGCTGGGAGAAGGGTGTACTAAATACAGGAGGAATCATCTTCTTGGAGGATAGAAAATGTGGGAACTGCACTCTATACAGTTACAGCTTCAGCAATAAGCTAAACCTTATCTGAAAAATGTTTAGACACACCCATGGAGGGTAATGGACAAGGGGACAAAGTTTAGTGTGTGGGTGTGGGAGAGAGAGAGAGAGAGAGAGAGAGAGAGAGAGAGAGAGAGAGAGAGATTCCTACAAATCACTGTCTAAATTTAGACAAGTACAGGGAGATCTGCCTCTTCTTTATATGTATTCCCCACAAGTCAGGCTCCCTGCTTCTTCTGGAGTCAGGGTAGGAGGCACAGGAAACCAGGCTGAAGACTCAGGACTCAGGTGTCAGGACAGTAAGCTCAGGAGTGTCTAGAGTAGTTTCTGAATGAAGCTCAACACACCACGGAGATGTGCCCTAAAAAGATGCTTTTCTGAGCTGGAAGCACTTGTACATGTTCCTCCAACTTCAGCCAAGTGTAAATTCCACCAGCTTTCTGTCTCAGGATGGCCCTGTCTATCTTGCTGGCTTCTCTGGTAGACTGTGTGATCACTTTTCTTGGGATTGCTCACTCTGTTTTCTTTCCTACCTTCTCCTGTTTAACTGTTCATAGTTCTGCTCTTACCAGGTCTCCAGAACCAGCCTTCTCGTCACAGCCAACAGAGTCTTCTCCTACATGCTCCAGATTCATCTTTGACCATCTTTTCTTCTAACTCCACCCTCTTTCCTGGAGAAGATGGATGTGAGAAGACTGGACATTGCTTACATAACTCACAGTATCCCAAGCATATCAGGCAAAGCTCTGAGACATCCTCCATTTCAGCCTGCTCCTCCTTCATATCCTGGGTGCTGTGGTGTTTGAGATGAAACTAACTTTTTATCTCCTAGAAAATACACACATGAGTGTCACAGATACTGGGAAGCCTGACCCAAGGGTTTGTCCTCTGGGATAGGGACTGTAAGAATTCAACCTGCATGGGCTTGAGCAAAGCTGGTGGACATGTGAAGTCAAGCACTGGTCAGGAGGTAAGGTAGCTAGCTACATGGCCTGGGTGTGGATGCTCCAGCTTCCCTCATGGCCCCTGAGAACAATACGGAAAAAGTACATGTTGGCAAGCACAGCATACACTGGAAGCATATCCTGAAGTGCTGAGTGAAGGTGGGAAGCGCCCTTGATGTTCCTTAGTGACCTGGACTGGGTTTACTGTGGGCTACTTTGACTGTACCAACTTGAGTCTTTTTGCCACCGTCTCCCCAGAGACATGGAATAACAATACAACTGGGGTTTGCTTGTTTTTCCTCTTTAAACCACATTTTCTCCTTTCTGTGCTAAAGAACAAGGGTCAATGGAATAGATGACCTGTCTTGTGGGAAAGAACCACTAGTAGAAGAGCACACAGAATGGGCTGAGAACATTCACCAAAGCATAAATATTATGGAAGAAACAATGTTAGGATTCTGGGCTTGAATAGGAGCTGATGATATTTGAGATTCTAAAATGAATTCAGTAAAATAAGGAATAAAATCCCTCTTTCTTTTCTGAGGATGTGAACTAAATTACCACAGCTTTCTGACTCTTCTAGAGGGCAAGTCCAACAGGGGTCCCACAGAGCTACAATCAAACTGTCAGCAGGGTGAGATCTCCGTGAGGGTTCCACTGAGAATCCTGGCTGCCTCCAGTTGCTGGAGTGCCTGGTAATTCCCAGAGTAAGGCCCACACCACTCTGACCTCAGCTGACATGTCACAGGCTTGCACTTTGGCACCACTGCCCTTGAGCTCGTACCTGGTCCCTGTCATTAAAGTCAGGCCTAGGAGAACCCAGCATGATTCCAGAGCTCAGGCTCCTCGTCTATAAAATCTCGTTTATAAGGTAAGTTTGCTGACCCAGTTGAGGTGTTTGATGTTTGAGGTGTCAGAGTGTAAGTGTACATGGGGGTGCTTACTGACTTTCAGCATGGTTGTTTGTTGAGGCTGGGTCTCATATAACTTAGGCTGGTCTCCGACTTGCTGTATAGTTGAGAATCACTTGGAACTCCGGATCCTTCTCTTTCTAGGGTTAAAATGCATGATGGTCTTGGTGATCTTCTCTGGTAACAACCTTTGCCTGACTCTGGACCTATGATAAGCTGCTGTGGCTCAGGGTTTTTATATGCATGCTTAGTGTCTCTGGACAAGAGGGGTTTTTGGACCTTTTGAGGCTCCTCCTCCCTCTTCCAGTCCCACAGGAGACAGGCTCTCCCTCCCATGTCTACGCACAGTAAGAATGTTGAGGACCATCCTGCTTCTTTCTCCAGGTGTTTCCTTACTCTTTGGTTGGTTCCTTCTACTTTGAAGGCTCAAGATCCTTACTCTGCTTCTCCTCTTATTTCTTAATAGTTTTGATAGAAATTAGCAGAATGTCCAGATTCCTGTATTCCACTGAAGTTCTGGATGTTGAAGAGGAGATCTGTGTGCTGGGTATGACCACAGAGGCTGAAGGTAGGACTGTAGAATTTTGTCAGCAGTTCCTAAGCCAAATCACTGCCCGAAGACCCTGATCCCACAGTCCTTTCTGCTCTTTCCTGGGACCACAGAGGTTTGGAGCTTCCTAATTAGTCCTAGCTCTGAAGTCCCCTCCATAGTGACAGGTGAGAAGCTGCCAGGTAGGAGATCATAGGAGGTCAGTTTTCTCCAGTGGCTTAAACTATAGAGAATAATTAGACAATAGAGAATAATTAATTTGTGCAGTCCACATAGCCATATGTCCATATATATGATACACACACACACACACACACACACACACACACACACATAT